TCTCATATCAGGCCGACTCGGCCAGTGACGGCCAGGACGTTGCGCTGACTACGTCGTTCTTTAATTCCCGTTTCCCGAGAACAGTGACAATATTTACGAATTATTATTATTTCATAAATGAAACTGTCAAGACAACTACGAGTCTCAACGGTATCTCAATGTCTCGAGTTTAATAAATCGTTTAAATTGAATAGTTTATCCATTAGGAAGCTCAAGCAATGAATTGTAAAAACTATTTGCAATACATTGATTCCAACCAATATAATTGAAGTATTTATTGATTGATTGATTGATTTACTAATTGATTTACAACAGTTCTATAAAAGTACACGTGCAGTACGATAAAAAAAAAATGCAAATCAAAGATAAAAGGGTGATGGTGACAGGAGGTGCAAGCTGCCTGGGTTTTAACGTCAGCAGAGAACTGCTTCGAAATGGCGCTTCTGTAAGTAATCATTAATTTGCTTTATGATTAGGGAATACGATAATTTACGATCATTTAATTGTGAGATTAAACTGAATTCAGATGATCGCGATGATAGATATTAGAGAGTCGGATGGCAAGAAAGCAATGGACATGCTGAACGCCGAGTTTGGCCGCAATCGCGTCATCTTCTTTCACTGCGATGTCACAAACAATGTCGAATTTGATGGTAAGTACAATCGATAAAAAAATACAGATCGGAATTACCATTTCGCGTTTAATTTCTGTGACAGAGACGTTCAAAGAAGCTGTAAAGACTCTTGGAGGCCTGGAAATTTTGGTGAACAATGCCAGTATGATTAATGAAAATGATTTCGTGAAAGCCATCGACGTGAACGTAGTAAGAAAATGTAACTTATTACATAGAGTCTAAATTTAGAATTAATTGTAAGAACCTTGGCTGAATAATAATCAGGCTAATTGTTATGACATGTACAGTCTCTCAGTTATGGTTTCTAGAAAGATGTTCCATAGAATTCTTTCAAATGTCCATCAGATTTATCACTGTAATTTATTAATTGAGATCAATTCGTTTAGACTGCGGTGATACGCGGTACGCTTCTAGGAATCCAACAAATGCAAAAGGACGCTGGCGGAAAAGGGGGTGTTATCGTGAACGTCTCGTCCGAGGCTGGTCTGAGTTCCGCATCTCATCTTCCAGTATATTCCACCACGAAACATGCCGTAGTCAGCTTTAGTCGATCTTTTTCGGTAGATTTAGATTTCCTACATTAATCATTTTAAACTTTCGAGAATTTTAAGACGTATGGTAGCTAGAATGCTCTTCTGATTATTTTCGGTTACTTGTTTGCAGCAACCTTATCATTACCAGAGGACTGGCGTCAGGATCGTAGTGTTGTGTCCTGAACTCACTGGGAATCTAATTATGGAAAATTTGGCAAACAACTGTCCGGAAAATGAAACAATAAATAAATTCTGCAGGAGGTACTTTGAATTTAATTTCTGAATTTAGATAGGAATTAAAAATCTTGTCTACTTTGTTTTATTAGAGTCGATACTATCGCACACGGATTGGTCTACGTGGTCCGATGCGCTCAAAACGGAAGTATTTGGATCAGTGAGGATGGAAAACCTGTATACGAAGTGCAATTACCTGATGTCCTACCACAGAAAGTAGACGATCCTATAATGGCAGAAGACGAGCATAAAATAGAAATAAATTAAATTGATGAATTTGTAAACAATACTTTAGTGTAGTTATTGCATTGTTTATAACTCTTTTATAGTTGAATGCAACTTCTATGTACATAGATCTTAAAAAAAAAAA